AATATTGCGTTGTAGGTCTTAAATCATTTTAAATGGGTCTTAATTTTTCTTTGTCCATGTAAAGCAAATTTACCCAATTGGGCCAACACCCATCCAATCAGTTTTAAGAAACGTTAAAAGAAAGTTTTTAGAAACATTGTGTTTACTGGTTAATAAGGTTTAATTATCCTCCTTACAATAACATTTGTTTTAATGGGTTTTCTTAAAGGTTTTAACTTACGTAAGCCATTAAAAGAGTCTTTAGCGTTTAACCTTGTGTAAGTCTGAAATTTCATTCATTATGCCTTAGAGTGCTGAAGTTTGCCCTGCGCACTTGCGGTTTTCAAAGAAACTTTTTTGGTGCATCAATCTTGTCAATGCTATTATTCAAAAGGGTAAAGATTCGCACTCATCAAGTAATTGCTTCGTACTGTTTTTATTTTTTATTTTTACATTCTTCAGGTGATTGTTTTTTTGATAAAAAGGTGGAGTGAGAGGATTGCATCACACACTGAGGAAGGCATTGTGCCGAAATGCTTGTTTTTTTAAATCAACCGAAGGATGTAAAAATAAAAAAAAATAACAGTCCGAAGCAATTACTTGATGAGTGTGAATAATTACCTTTTTAAATAATATTCATTATGGTCTTAAACGTCTTAAATTTGACTTAATGAAACCTGTAGAAACCCTGTTTAAAAGCATTATTTCTGGTATTATTTGTGTTAATGGAAAAGCTTTGATGCCCGAGAAACACAGTTATGATGATTATAAACAGTTAATGTTTTAATGAATAGAAAGTTCTGAAAAACTGAATTTATTTGAAATTTAAAGTAATTAATAATCTCTTAATTCATATAGAGTAAATCCTTGCAGACTTTGATTGATAGTAATAATAGTAAATAATGCATTTGATTTGTAATGTGCTTTACTTAGACCCAAAGTGCTCCAATAGCAGAAATTAAATACATGAAAAATTATAATAAAAATAAACCATCAACTAAAAACAAGCTTAAATGAATGCGTCCTAATCAACTTTTAGAATAATCCAAAGTTGGTGCATTTCGGATATTAAAAGGAGGCCATTGCTTAATTTAGACTACAGGTGTCAAACTGGGTTCCTGGAGGGCCGCAGCTCTGCACAGTTTAGTTCTAACCCTAATTACACACACCTGATCAAACTGATCAAAGTCCTCCAGTTTTGTGTGAAACCTGCAGGTAAGTGTGTTGAATCAGGGCTGGAATGAAATTGTGCAGAGCCTCAGCTCTCCAGGTACTAGGTTTGACACCTGTGTGCTAAATTATGGAATGGTCTTCCTCGTAATATCCGAAATGGGAAAAGGGCTTAAAATGAGAAAGCTCTTTCTCCCATAGTCTTTCCTTCACATAAAGGCTGAAGATAGTGTATATAAAATAGTTAATTATATGAAAGAGTCTCAATAAGTCAAGTAGAAAAACTTTAAGGAAAAAATTATTTAGTGAATTAACACACATTTTGCCAGTAGAGAGTTTTACCCAGCTATATTTGTAAGTGCCTTAATATGTGGTCAATTTTTCAATGGAGTCCATGCAGCTATAGAATGTAGTGCGAGGGCAAAGTATTAACCTCACTTCAGGTTGAAGTTGGTCAAGAGATTTAACTGAAACGCTGCTAGATTTGAAAATGACTTCTTCAAGATTTTCTTCACAACTCAACAGACAAGGGCTCCATTACAGACGAGGGCTTTTTGCCTGCACAATTTAACTTAAATATTGCTAATATGAGCACACCTTTGGTCTGGTAGAACTTGCAGTAGCTTTAAACAGCCAATTCAAATGTTATTGCTCAATAGAATGGGCATTATCAGCTGATAGATATGAGCCTGTAAGGGCTTTCTGCACTTAGTGGTGGGCCCAGAAGGCTGTTATCATCCATCCACATGGTTAATTAGCTATAGAACACTTGCGAGAATTAAATTAAGGGAATTATTTATATTATTTGTCACATTTCCCATTAATTCTATTTTTTTTAATGCCTACCCCTAACCCAACCATCACAGCAATGTAAAACAGATCTGGATCTGGAGTCTTCCCTATTAGTATAGCTCATTAACCATGTGGATGGATGATAACAGCCTTCTGAGCCTACTAGTAGGTGCAGAAGGCCCCTACTGGTCCATATCTATCAGCTGATAACCACAACTAATGCTCATTCAAGTGATTATGAGTTATAACATTTGAAGCAGAGCTTTAAAGGTGTAGCTTTTACAAAAATGAAAAAAAATGCTGGTTATTTAAGATTGAGGTGACTTTTTATTCTTCAGCAGGGCAATAAAAAATCTTCTTAGCTTAATCTGGGGTCTTTATCGATTCATAAAAAGCGAGTCATAAATGAAATTGAAAACATATACGGGCAGAATTATCCATATGAATTGGTGTCATAAATCATCTCTCAAGCGTCATTTATATCAGTACTTTGTTGTTTTACTTCCATTGGAGTTTTACTTCCATTGAATTATTGTGTTATTGTAAAAGAAAAGAAAGCAGAAACACATCTTGTAAGTCTTAAAGGGTCGGGCTGCTGTCTTGTCTTATTCTCAGATTGGAAACCTGTCCCTTGCTGATCATGTGGCATGGGATAGACTCTCCGTCTCTTAGAGTCGACTGCGATTCGCTTTAGAAAGTGGACACGTACCCAACCAAAACTCATCTCACCGGAACACACGTCTTCTCGGCTCTGACCACAACATGAACCGGTAATCACACAACAGACTTTTGGATGGAGCAATCACTCGCCCGCCCGCCCTCTCTCAGTGCCTTACTGAACCAGTGGCAAAACATCAAAACACGCAGGCCAAAGTCCTGGAGACGTCCTGCTGGGTGCTGGGTCTGAAACCATTATTTCAGTTTATTACGAGAGGGAAAGACTGAAAAGAAGGGAGGGAGGGAGGGAGAGACAGACAGACACACAGTAAAGAGAGAGAGAGTGTGAAGATTGATTTGGTTGATCTCATGATCAGTGATGACAGTGTTATATGACTGACAGCCAGTTTGTCTCCATGACAACTCACATTAGGAGTATCTGCAGACAAACATTTTATGCAAACTGTAGGAAATATTATTTTGTTGAAGCTTTCTGCTTATTCATTTGTTTAAAATGTTTGTGCTGTGTTTCTGTCCTCATCCATGTAATCGTTATGAATAATGTAAATAACTTCAGATACATGACATGGCATCAGAAACGTTTCCCTTTCACACTTGACAGTTTTAGGAGTTCATTCATAGTCTACAGTGTTTACTTTAGCGGAAGCAAATTGCAGGCTGAGTGTATGAGGGTCTCTCTGTTTTCTGTATTTTAAAACTTAATAATGAGGGTGTAAGATTTGTTTGCCATAGTACTTTATTCTGAAACGTAGGAGATAATGACAGCACAGTCATATGCCATTGGCAACAAAAAAAGCTCATATTCCTCATGATCATAGATCAGTTCTTTTTTAAGCAAGCTTAGGAATCAACAACATGTTTAATAGTTTGTAATAATTTTATTGTGTTTTAAAAAACTAAACTGCAAGGTCACTGATGTAAAATATGAATTCTGTCACACCAGAAAAAAGTGAATATGTAATTTAATTTTATAAATCCACTGTTTCAATTCTGAACTTTTGTTTAGATGCTAAAAGACATATTTATTTTGAAGATTTTGTATAACTGACGTCTGTTTTATTTCTAAGTGAACTTGCATGTACAGTAATGAGCATTTCCCTCAATAAAGCTTCCCTTGTCTTTCCTTTTCCCCCATGCCAGCCCTTCCGCTTTCCCTTTCCTCATCCTCCTCCATCATTCCTGAGTAATTAAAAAAGGAATAGAAAGTTGTGAATTGGTCATGATGATACATCCTGAGCTCAAACAGTAATCTGTCCTTCTGCATGACTGCATCCAACTCTTAACATTTAAGTATATTTTGTAAATAAAGACAGATTTAAGACAAATTCATGTTGCCTAATGTGTGATTTCAGTAGCTATAAGTTTGCTCTCATGAAAAATACAATTTTGCCTGCATTTTTCGAGGAATTTTAGTTTGATTATTTTATGGTTGTCTACACATTAGGCTAAAGGAAAGTTTATTTATTTATTTATTTTTATTTTTAATTTTTTTACTTTAAAAGCACCCTTAAATCATTTAATTGTCATCTTTTATCAGATGTAACCGGCAGCCTGAGGTCTGCACAGATGCACAGGTTCCACTAAAACACTAAAAGAGCATGTCAAAAGCTCTGATTCTAGATAAGTGTTTCCAGCACTAAATGAAGAGATGATCACATTTATAACTCACTTACAAATAATCCTCATCACAATTGCAATACATGCCACCTGCTGAGCAAATAAGCGCCTGCTGCGCATGTAAATGTACTACAAGCTGCACAGCAGCAGCTGACAGTTGAACAGGTTTGTGTATAAAGAAATGGACTGTGAAGTGGTTCAGTGCTTCTGTTTTAGAGCATTATAGCCAGTGTAGTTTCTCTGAAGGTTTACTGAAAGGAAGGCGGGTGTGCTGTGGCTGCAAAGCCCTTTTGAGGATTGCTGTGTCGATCACTGAAATCTTCCTTGAGGACTGTGCTGCTGCTGCTGTGCCTGTAAGTGTGGAGGAAACATTGGCTAAATCTCGACATCCTTTCATTTGAGCAAGTTTCCCTTAGTGGTGCTTGTTTTGACTCTACAGAAAGAACACAAGCACAAGGGAAAACAGTGCAGTGTCCCCTTCTTTCTGTTCTCATATAGAAGGTTCTGGCTTGATGCTTTTTGCAGCAGCTCTGCAAACTGATTTTAAGATTTTTATTCAGATAATAAATGGTGATGCACCTGCCACACCCCAGCAATGCCATAACGCTCTCATTTCCCCATGACTCAGTGCTGTTTTAATTTATATGCGGCGAGGCTGGTTTAGACGAGACGAGCTATTGCTGCCCATATCCGCCTTATTTACTTATTTATTTATTTTGTTTTGCTGCCGGTTTGTAAGCTCGCTCGTGTCCCTTCGGTTGCCTGGCAACGCGCGTGGCAGTGGGCGCTCCTGACCTTGCGTCCGCGACCGCGCAAAGCGCGCGCGCTTAAAATAGACCCGGGGAGATTGACGTTAATTGAAAATAAGAAAAACGCAAGAAGAGCCGATCGCCGTTCACACGGCTCGACAAGGAAAAAGGGGGCATGTTGGATGGTGGAAACGATGAGATACGAGATTATTACAGCGTTTGCTCGGATGCGATACCGGCTGAACGATTCGGCAGGTGAGCCCAATTTTTTTCTTATTTATGGCTGATCTGATGCGCGCCGTCGTTTCTCAATATCAGGCAGCGGTGAGAACGAGCAACCGCGAGTAATAAGAGCAATTTTCCGATGCTGGTAAATCCAAAAATGAGGGTACTTATGAAAAAAAGCGTAAATTGGATTGTGTACGAGTGTATGTGGAACGCGATTTGATTGAACAATGAACGCTGGACTAATGAATGCGCCGCATTGCTTGTGTTCGGGAAATGGCTTTTATCAAATTGAGGCATTTAAAAAGGAAATATTTTCATTTTTTACCCTTGATTTAATTTTAACGGCATTTTCATTCTCGCATCTGCAGCATGAAAGCTCGCAATCGCAAGACGGTGAGCCTAGAGCGAGGAAAAAGGGGAGAGGGGGAGACGAGTTGATAGAGAGGGGGGAGAATTATCATTCGGATAACCTCAGAGCCGTGATTTGCGGCATCTGGGCTGTGGATTCTCGTTGATCATAGTCATTAGATGGCCCTAAACAGTCAGCTTTGTAATTCTCCTCTGTGTCACTAGATCAACTTATTCGCATCTGTTTGGAAACACCTCTGCCAGCACCGTTATTTAGCTGTTCTCCAGGCCTGTCTGCGCGAGGGACACTCGGGGGTCGAGTCGTTCTCCGCGTGCCTGCTCAATACCCGCTGATATATTAATCACGGGCGGCGCGTGACGCTGAGCGCGTGTGAATTAAAGCTGCAGTTCGTCACCTGTTGGAACGGTAACGGGAGTGCTCGCAGGAGCGCCAGTCAGAAAACAGTGTCGCGACCGTCCGTGTGGGTGAACCCAGGAAGAGAGACCCGCATTGAGTCCAAGTTGTCATGGTGATTTTACCATCTGTTGGCTCGGTTTACTTAAAGCTTTTCTAGCGCGCGCATACTTGCGCGTGTCCAAAACGTTATGTTGTACGTTTACAAAACACTGGCATTGGTCGATTTCAGGGAAGGGTGATGACAAGGGTACATTTTTCATGTTTTTTTTAACTCGGGTATGCGGTAAACAGTGAGCCTCGCGAGTGTTTTCCTAATGAAATGCCCCCGCATAGTTTATTATCCGCGCGCCATCCCGCCACTGCACCGTTCAGTAGGAGCTACGGAGGAGGAGGAGGAGGAGGAGGGACAAACTATTGGTATTCATCTCTCGTATGGTAGTCTCTTTCACCGTCCCCTCCGTAAAACCGAGGAACACACACACACACACGCATACACACACACACACACTATTTCCAGTGAATGCAGAAAAGAAGCAGGATACCCTGTATCACCGTTTGAGAAGGAAGTAGAATTAATAAACAGAGCTGAATCTGCCAATTCAATGAAAGCAGACCTTATCATCTCGCACGGTTATCTAGGTTACATATCAAGCACCCTAATCTTGAAACACATAGCCTGTGTACAACTGACCTGATTGAGGCGTGCTGTCCGCCCGCCACTGGAAAATGGGCACTGGAATAAACGGACTCCCAGTATTTTCTCGATGGGCCCTACGGTTCAGATTAACTGACCCAAATTACAAAGATGGAGGAACACTCGGCTAGAAAAGATATTTACAGAAGGCCAGGGAAACCAGTTAGTGCGTGTCTGCTGCTATTCTACAGGTCTCTTCAGCACCCTGGACAGCGACACGGGTCATGAAAGCAGCGCTATATCCTATGCGTGTCTCTAGCTAATTCACATCCTAATATGTCAGGTACTACATTGCATTAAACATTCTATATGGGGAAGGTTAGTTCAGACGTATTTCTATGCACTGTTTTAAACGATGGAAAATGCCAATTATCAGGTTACAGCTGCTTGTTTAAGTATGACCAGTGCAAATCCAACATAGGCCTACCTTTAATCAAAATGCCTTTTAGGGTACAAGAGGTTGTTGATAATGGGAATGACCCAGTTAAAAGCTCAATGAGTTGTAATTAATTTAGCCTCTAGCTTGCCTTTTGGACTAATAATGCCTTCTGCATTCTGCAAGCTTGTGTTCAGCTGGTTTCTGAGTAGATATTTAATACTGTTTGCAGATCTGAAGTTGAATTTACTGGGAAGACAGTTACATAAAATAGGTCATATAAGCTAACACCTGCTCAACACACACCAGTGTGTTCAGCGATGTGTTCGAAAGTCGTTTCGCACCTCTGAGAGTGCCAGGCAGAAGATATCAAGGGTTTCAGGTTCTGTACTTGAAGCTGTTAAAGGAATGGTTCACCCAAAAATGAAGAATCTGTCATCATTTACTCAGCCTTTACTTGAGCTTTATGAGCTTCTTTTTTAAACACAAAAGAAGATATTTGGATGAAAACTGGAAACCTGTAACCACTGACTTCCATAGTATTTGTTTTTCCTACTCAGTGGTTACATATTTTAAGCTCTCTTTAGAAAACACAGAAAACACTTAGAAAGGTTTGGAAGCTCTTAAGAGGGAGTAAATAGTGAGCAAATGTTCATTTTTGGATGAAAAATCCATTTAGTTAGTTTGCATTGCATGGTGTTCATTTAATGTAGCTGAGATAGAATTAGTAAGGTTGTGTGTGTGTGTGTGTGTGTGTGTGTGTACTTGCTTATGTCCAAAATGAGGACTTTCGCCAGAGTACACACCAGTAAAATGAGGACCACCTTGACAAATGAGGACTTTTTCTTGGTCCTCATTTGTCTGACCATATAGCAGTATTCAGCATGCTTCAAAATGGTGTCCTGGCTTAAAATCTCACTTGTCCTCAAAATGCACTTTTACATGATTTGTGTATCCAAGTGTGTATCCCCCCACCCCAAAAGTGTGTATAACACAGCGCCCTCTAGGAGAACTGCAATGACGCAATGATACACACTTTTGGGATCTGGCCAATCAGAAAGATACAAGGAGGATGTCACGCCCCCTATTGATCTGACGAATCAGAGGCGAAGTGCGTAAAAATAAAGATGGCGGCAGCAAGTTACTATGGTTACTTCACAGAATAAAAGAGACAGTATGAATAAAATTGCACTTTAATTAGTATTTAAATGAAAATGACCAAACTGCGTCAAGAAAGCCTTATATTTGGTGTCCTTAAGCACGGTACTTTATTCTAGGTTTGAATCGTACTGTTTCTGCGCAGATCGCGCTGTATCCCCGAGGGAACGGATAACACGGAAGTACAGTATGTAACTTAGTTTAGGCTGTACAGTAACTTAGCAGATCCGAGGAATACTGTGGCATAATAGCGCGAAACGGCCCGCGAGAGCGACACGCAACAGAATCAAATGTTTTCCTGGTTTGTGTGTTCTTTGAACTGTCTGTCTGTTCTACACTGTCAGCGACCGCACCGCGCACCTCCCCCGCCCGCAGCTACGCTCCCTCCGGCTACAAAGAGCTCAGCTGCCCGGGAACGAAAGGAGGAGAGGAGCTCCGAGTGCGACCGGGAGGAAATTAGGCGGAATATAATATATAATTTGATGTATATCCGTGTATAATAAATGGTATCATCACTTGGAAACTTTTTGTATACATGTTTAACTTTTTTTCCAGAGTTCTGTTTATCTAAATAACATGTTAATAAGTATTTGTTTAAGTTAAGAAAGCTAAAATGCCAGGTTTAAATCATTTTTCTAAAGAATGAAAAGTGTATTATTTATATTTCCTTTGCACTGAGATTTACATATATTATAAATAGTATGAGTGAATAAATTTCTTATTGAGTAATTTAATTACATTTTAGATAAAGATAAATATAATCAGTGATGGGAGTATAGTCCAAAATAATTAGTTAACTTACTGTAACGAAATCACAAAGTGAATATATTTTTTTTTCTAAAACTTAAAAAATGTAAATAAAATAAAATAAGAAATACTTCAAGCCTGTTTATTTCATTCAAATGTAAACAATGAATTAAGACATTTGCCAGTTCTGTGTATAATATATAGTTAAATCACTTGGAAACTTTTTATATGTTTAACTTTTTCCAGAGTTCTGTTTGTTATCTAAATAACATGTTGATAATAAAGTATTTGTTTAAGTTAGGAAAGCTAAAAGGCCAGGTTTAAATTATACTTAAAGAATAAAAAATGTTTGATTTATATTTCCTATGCACTGAGATTTATAGAGATTCTGATAGTATTGAGTAAAGTGATTACATTTCTTCTTGAGTAATTTAATTACATTTTAGATATGGTAGAAAAGCAATTTACAGCCTTTTTTAAATGCTCAGACACTAAACGTGAAAACTGACACAGACTCACTGAAACTCTTCACTCTTACCTTATTAACACCAATTCTACAAAACTACAAGTCCATTGCTGTAGTGTATTTGTGGATATTTGTTTGTGTGTTCAGTTACTAGTTTCAAGAAATATTGATAAGTATTCTGGAAGAGCTGTAAATACAACTTTAATGTTGTAGTAATTCATTACTTTTTTTAAATCGTTTACCCAACACTGATAATAATAATGTATTAATACTACATGCATTTAATATTTTTCAGCCAAATTCTTAATGGAATAAAGCCATGGTCTTTCTGTAATAACTTAAGTTCAGGCAGTTTCAGACACTCTTTACACAAAAGTCTAAACAGATGTGTGCCCACTATAACAGATTTGCACTGTGATGCTCTTGTTACAAAACACCACACAAAAAGAGTGACAGTTAAAAACAAATAAAACACTTGGAAAGATACGATAGCTGTATGAATGTGTGCCAGTTCTGTATTATTTTTTTCACAGCTGCATGTGCAAAATATGAGCCAGAATAGACACAGGTGTTACAAATTTAGATATGAACAATAGCGACAACCTAAAAAGAGGGAAGGAAAAGAAGGAGGAGAAGGAGGATGAGGAGGATGAAAGAGCCTGATCAGCCTGGTCAGAGGGTAGGCCTCAGACTGAGCTCTGTATGAAGACAGTCAGTCTCTCATTGACAGAAGTTTCAGTTGCCTTGCTTTGCATTCACTGTTTCTATTAAACTTGTGCTTTTTGCATAATGAGAGTGCTGAATACACAGATATTGTGAT